AAAAATGTCCAGAGATATGTATGAGCCAATAGAATGACCAACCTAAGAACGGAAATCAAAATCACAGCACATAAAACTTCTAATACATGCAGAAAACGAGAACCTGACTATCTACATTGATAAAAAGTTCCATTTTTCTTACTGATTTTTGTGAGTTTGGATTGAAATCTGAATTTAACAATGAAATGATGGTTCAGAACAAGAATCCAAATAACACGCACATAAGAGCATATATTAATGCAACTTCTGAACTTACCAGTACTAGAGGAACTTCAACATCCTGAAGCTCATGCTCTATGAAGTTCAGCTGGAAAAGAGGATTTTGAAACAAAATTAAATCAAGAATGCAGACTTTAGACCAGTATTTTGAATTGCATTTTGGGGCGAGAAGCTTTTTCTTTTGTTTAATAAAATTCCATACATTTTATTTATTTATTTATAACTATTCTTTACCTTTTCAAGGTCAAATTTGAGTACTACTTATACTTGATGCAAGCTAAACTAGCTCAAGAATCAGGACAACCAATATTCATTATAACACTAGCGGATCATTGGACTAACTCAAAATTTTAACTTGAGCAACATGTTGAGTTTAACCGGAAAAGGAGCAATATACCAGCTTTTACTAGAAACCCAACAAAAAGCAATGAATGGAAAGTGAATCAACATCAAAGAAAAAAATATGCCAAAGGACGGAGCGCATAAAAAAATGATATCCAAAAACTAATGTGATAGAAATACGAAAGGGTAAAGCAAGAAGAGGGTACCAAAGTCGTTAAAATTGGTCAGAGGATGATTTCTTCAAGTTCAAGGTCGCCGATCCGTCTTGATGTTACGAAGTTAGGGCTCTTTTTCTTTGGTGGGGATGAATTTGGGTATTAAAGAAGAGGGTTTTAGAAAAAACAATGGGTGTTGTCAAAATTCTCTCTAGTTTTTTTAAGTTTCAATAGGCGGGCATGTGCCTCACTTTCTAGGGCATCACCCAACAGAACCTACACCCCCTTCTATTTCCCCAATATGTTTTTGGTATTGCCCCGCCCCAGGACTCGCCCCAAAACGCATTTCAAAGCACTAGTTAATACAATTTTGCACTGAAATATATGTTGATGAAGAACTTAGATTTTATTAATTGGAAACTAGAAACATTGCCACTCCATTAGATTGAGCATTACAAAGCAGAGGATATAAAGTTTTAACATCAAACATATGATGGATAAATATCTGCACTGAAATGTGGATCTCTTTAAAATATTAGGAATATTAAAATAATTTTAAGTGTATTATACTAATTATAAAATGTAAAATTGAATATCAATGGGACTTATGCCCCGTGGCTCGGGATTTACACCTCGGCCCATGTTGGGTAAAACATCTCACCTCACGCCACTCGCCTTTTAAAGCACCGATATAGACATTGAACTACCATATTCAGAAGAAAAAAGGAATATTCTGGAAAATTGAGAAAGAATAGATTAAGCTAATCCTATAATTAGAAGGAATAAAAACAGTTCTTGACTACATCCTTCAGCCACAAGTTGAAGGGTAATTTCAACTTTCCATTAACATAGAAATAACACTATCGAGGAAAAATTAGTTATTGGTTCCTAAACCCAGAAATTTTTTGAAAAAAGAATTACCACTGATATGCTTTTCACCATCCCACCTGTCACATCCCCTGCCCCCTTCCCCTAAAAGAAAAGATTTCTCTAAGATAAACTAATATGAGATAACAAAATTACCTTGTGATCTGTTTGTTCTTGCAGTGAAAACAGCCTTCCGTGCTCCCAATTCTAGCAATTGGAACAAATCATGCAACTATGTTAGCCATGCATTGATGGCATTAGTGCCAGCTGAAACTTTAAAAGAAGATATTATTATACACCAACAAATTTTCATCTTTAAAGACTATCGAGTCTATGGGAAATCTTCAAAAGGTCAATCAAAGACAATAAATCATCCAACGGTCTTCACAGTTCACATGAGATGCAAACTTTGAACTTGAAGTTTGAAGAGTTACAAGGAGAAATGAAAACAGAAAAGAAGGACAAAGTAGCCAGAGCCCCTTAGAGCAACTAAAAACTTTTTTATAAAATGGATACTACATGTTCCAATAGAACGCTGTGTGCAACCTAACTTGCAGAGCAATTACGACTTAGCTCACGTCTGTTGCGTGTGAGAATAAAGTCCTACATGGAAAGTAGAAAAAAAAACTATTTATAAGGAGTTAGATACTCTTAATAGTGTGAGGCCTTTTAGGGAAAATCCCGTGGGCTTGGACTAAAGCGGATAATATCATACCATGTTAAGAGTACCTTTGGGCCGTTTTAGCCCAACAACTAGTATCAGAACTAATAGTTTGGCAGGACGAGTATAGAGATGGCGGAGGGTAATGGCGCAGGGCCAGGCTTAGTGCCTTTGCCCGTCTGTGGGCCAGTTTACTACCTTTACCCGTAGCTTCAAAGGCGCATGCACAGCCTCTCCTCTGGACTTCGGTTGGGTGACACACAGTTAACCTCCAAATTAGCGCATGAATGGTGATTGGTCATATGGAACTTAGTTCAAAGGGAAGATTGTTGGGTATATGCAAATAAAGTCCCACATGGAAAGTAGAAAAGAAAAAAAAGCTACTTATAGCAGTTGGATACTCTTAATAGTGTGAGGCCTTTTGGAGAAAACCGTGTGGGCTTGGTCCAAAGTTGACACTATCATATCATGTTAAGAGTATCTTTAGGCTGTTTTAGCCCAACAACTTCATCTCTTTTGATAGACATTCTTTTGGCTCCGCATAGCATAATGCTAATAAAGTTCAGAAGTTGTAAGCTGGTGCAACTATTTCCGTACATAATTAGTCTCCTCAATGCTTGTATTTAAGAAGAGGTTCTAGTCACACCGTGATCCCTTGTCATCGATAGATGCACAGTTTTGCACGTATATCAAAGACATGAAAGGTATATATAGATGATAGACCTGTCTCATAGGTACACAGTGTTTTCCGAGTTAATATTCTTTGCATAAAAGTTCAAATTAAACTGAGGCATCTAGTGGTGAATATTCTTGGCATTTGCATGCAGAACAAATCTGGTTTAGCTTCAAAAGAACTTTGTCCACAAAGATGCAGAATTGACGACTTATACTTATTATTTAAGGCACTTTTTAGATTTTATAACTACTCCTACTTATTTTTCTCCTGCAAAAGAAACTGTCTTTTATGAAATACATGGCAAAGACTAGGGATCTCAATCTGTTGTACCACAACGTTTTAGTCTAACAAGCAGGAATGAAGCTTAAGATTTAAGAATAGGGAGTTAAGGAAAACAGTTATTCTGGGAATTGAGAAATGTAAACATCGATACAAAGGTTAAGGAATGCAAAAATACATTTAACCAAGTTTCTTTTCATATTCACAATTTGAAAGGGTCAAAACTCAATTCTTAAAATCTTACGGGTCGACTATCTGCACATGCTCCTCCTAACTCCCCTTTACTAAACAGAAAACGCAGAAGGAGCTTCATAAACTCCAGCAATTTTTCAGAAACTACTTGGTGGTGAATGCGGGTAAGACTCATTTGTGGATGTATCGGATTAAGGGTTTATGGGGCAACTTTTTGCTAATTGTAAAGAATTTTGAAGAATCCACGTGAAGCTCCCAGACCCATATTGCACCTGTTTGACTCAGCATAGTATTCATGAAACATGGTACTCGAACAAAGAAGGAGGTGGTGAATGCTGGTACCAGGAAATGAAGGAGATGACAAATCACAGATTTAAGAATCAAATACACAGTGATTTGCAGTTAAAAGTTAATTGTGGTCATCAAAAGGTCTTTATGTCAGACTTAAACTAATATTTACTTCATTCAGAATGACGGAAATGAAGAAAATGAGGTTAATCTCAAACTCAAGACAAAGTAGGGAGGTTGATGAATAGAACTCCCACTTGGCCACATTTTGGAGGTTTTACCAGTAGCATTTCTTATCTAAACTGAAAGCCAATATTTGGTTGAGGGAAGCAGCACACGAATAGGTGGATTTGCATTCTTGTATGTTTGGATAAAGGGCAGAAGCGCTCTTTTGCTCCCACCAGTACTTATTGTAAGGGGTGGGGCAACCGGTTAAAATCAAATATCCAACAGCCGCTTTCCTTAAAAAAAGCTAAAATTCTATTTAAAGAAAACAGAGTAATACCCAAAATACAACCAAAACTTCAAAATAAAGCAATAATAATGAAAAGGTACTGATTTACTTAAAAGGTCCGTGTTGGAACATCATAAGACAAGCCAAGAAATTTATAAAAGTACTTGTTAATTTAACAAATTAGATTAGGAAAAGAAGATTCACCAAGAATTTCAGATATAGTTATTCGAAACAAACATGCAAGAGGAAAAAAGAACAGAAACAAATGGATAACGAAAATGCAGCATTATTTGTACTTAGTCATAAAGCGTTCTCATCCTCTACAAATAAAATGATCCAAGAGAAACCATATCTCTTTATTTTATCTTACCATCTTGCTTCACAACCCTGTTGTAAAGCAACATACCTTAAGTTGCTCCATAATATATAGCCAATGATAGAACGAGCGAACAGCCATATCATTTGCTACTACTTCCATCAAATTCAGAAATCAAAAGACTACTCGATTCCATGATCTAGTTAACTGAGCAACTTCAATACTATAGATAGCTTCATTTGCTGAAATGACATAAGTGGCCAAATAAATTAAATAAGCCTGACGGTGTTCAACAAGGCAGAGCTTCTGAAACCAGAAAAAATATTCAGAAGAGCAATTGTATTGCTGCAGTCCATTAGTATAATTCCACATGAAATTCCAACACTCCAGGTAACTTAGATTTCATTAGCTAGCCTTATGTATCATTGTAATTTGTACCATGTCATCCTGTAGTGGTTACACTGCATATTCTCTAGTTAATCAACGTACTGTCAAAGCGCAGGTAGGCTGTGACACCTGCAACATTGGAATGGGACAAAGACGTGGAAGGTAACTTTCATCCTTTGGCATTTTTGTTGTAATCTCAACATTTAATTGATTAGCCCGTACACAGACTTGATTACTTGAGTTGACAAGCTCAGAAAAGAAAAGAACATCCATGCCCTCTTGCACTACTGTAGAGGCCATTCATGCCTATCTAAACAATGTCACACAAAATGGCCCCTAGGTTGAGCTTTATATAAGATAAATTTCAACTCTAGCCGGTGGACTTATTCTAATCAAAGCACAACTATTTCATCAAACTCAGCTAAAATATGAGGTGCAATTTCTACAATATTGAAATCTCATACTCCTCCTGTCTATAATATTGCAGTCAACGTTCATTTTAGGGATCTATTACAGGACTGGATAGTAGAATTTAAAATAATACCAAAATAGATAAGAATAGTTGCGCTATAAAAAGTTGCATACCTATAATATATATGTAACTAGAATTGTCCCTTCTCTAATGGCTTAAACCTTCATAGCTAAGTTGCTCGGACTCTTCACTTTCGGTGCCACACCCATGTTGACACGACGTGGGTATGGGTGTGGGATCTCTATCGGATCTCGTCAACCAATTTTGGGTATTTTCACCAAAATCGACGGAGAAATTCTGGACAGATACAATAATTTCTGAAATCAAAATAAAAGCTAGGATGAAATTAAAAAAAATGAAATACCTTGTATATAGAAATTTCTATGACAGTCCTTTGCCTTTATCTCCTTCTCGGATCTCCTCTTGATCAATATTTTCTCTTTCTAGAAATACATTGTAAGTTTTTCACACAATGTCTCATAATCTACATATATTTTTAAAATTCTTTTTTTAGATATTTGAATTATTTTAGCCAAATCCCCAAACCCGTATCTGTACCTAGATCTGTAATCCCAAATCTTAAAACTTAGATCATGAAGGATCCGACCTCTAGATCCGACCTCACACCTGCACCCGGGTCCGAGCAACTTAGCTTTATATAAGATGATTACTCAAGTTCAACACAATATCAGAGCAGACAAAGGTCGTGGCTTTAAGTCTTGTCATCACCCATATAAGGATATTTCCGCAGCTTGGCCGAAGAAAAAGAATCAGGTTCACATGCAGGGGGCATGTTGTACATATATACATTAAGATTTTAGAGACATCCAGTAACTCTAGTTCAACATATAGATACTTAAATGATTACTAAAGAAGAGTTCAAATTTAGTCCTAATGGGACTCAAGAGATAAATCAGTCACAGAAGTTACTATAAGTTGTGCTTCGTGGGATAAATCAGCCGCTTAAGGAAAGATATTTAACTAAACATTGGCTACATGAAGTCATTAACTAGACATGCTCTTTCCCCACAAGCCAAAGCTTAGAAAGGTATTTAAGTAGTTCATTTAATAATACTAGTCCTAAGGTACGCGCTTTGCACGTGTACCCATATCAATGAGTATATAATTTTTAAAACAATATAAATATATTATTAAATAATATGTTTAAATTATGAAATAAACTTTTTTTAAAGTATAAGTTCTTGAAAATGATGAATGATTTCATTGAGCTAGGCGAAAATATATAAAAAAAATAAAATAAAAAAATTCAAGAAAATATCAAATTATATTCAATTCTTAAATGTAACGTAACTAAACGGAAAAAAATACCTTTTTCATGATAGAATCAAATTGTTTTCAATTCCAAAAATTCGTAACTTAAATAAAACAGGAAAGGAAGTGCTTAAATATTTATTTGATAGAAAAACTTTGGAACACTTTGAACCATTAAATGCTACTTTTTAAATTTTTTATTTTTTTTTTGCCATTGTAATTTCATATACTTGAATGAGATGTATGAATAATTGTGTCTCAATTATATAAGCCTCTCCATCGTATTTTTAGGTAATAAAAATATTTAACAAATAAAATTTTAAGTGATTTCAATGTTTTAAATATTAGATTTACATGTAAATTATTATAGTTATGTTACCTAGTTCAAATTTAAAAGGGATTTACTCAAGGTAATATTTTAGTCAATTTATTAGGACTTTCTAATATTAACTAAGGGAAATTTTTACAACCAAAATTTTTAGTTGATTTTAAAATCTAAATATTAGAATAATAAACTACAAATTCCTCATCTAGCGTCACTTTTAAAAGAATCAATAGTCGTACCTCTTTTCGTCTATAAAAAAATTGTAATAGTTTAATTTTTTCCTCGGATGGCTTTGAATCCAAATCTATGGTTGCTGGTGAGATACTAAAACCTTGAAATTTGAATTTCTAAAAGGTATTAACGTAAGTTAGTTCTTGTATTTGGTCCTAAATATTAGGACTTTAATTTGTACAAGGAAGAAATTTAGTTGATTTTAATGTCCTAAATATTAGGTTTTCCTACATAATAATTCAAATGTGGAAAGTTTTAAAAAATAAAATTTTAGTTAATTTCCAAGTCCTACATATTAGGGAAAATAGGTAAATGACAATTTTGACTAGTGTTTCGTGCTTTTGATAGTAAAAAGATTTTTTTTTGTTTTGATAATTGTGGTGTCTGGGCTAGCTTGTGCGCACCTCGACTAATTCCACGGGATACCTGCTACCTCCCAACAGCAACAGGTACCAGGTAACTCTGTCCACCAAGGCTAAGACAGATTGGAGTAAATCACCTAGTGTTTTTTGCCTCCATTGGGATTTGAACCAGAGACCTCATGGTTCTCAACCCACTTCATTGACCACTAGGCCACACCCAAGTGCCAAAAAAAAAAATATGGGTCATATAGGCAGTTAAACTTTTATACAAGTCAAATTACAATTTGTGTTACATTCCAGTTCTGTAATTCGACCAATTATGTCTTACAGAAGGCTGCTCAATTAATACAAATTATTTAAAACTTAAAATTGTATGTTGTGTTTGTTGAACTTTTGATTATTGCACTAAGGAAAACATTTTCCTCGAAAATATTTCCATGAAGAAGTCATTTTGTGGTATTTGGTTATAGGAAGAAAAAAAATCTTGAAGTATTTTTAGTTAAATAGGTAGTAAATGAGAGTAGGTGCGATAAGTTATTACATGTTCAGTAACTTTATCAAAGAATATGTATAGCTAAATGCCAATGAAATTTGTTTCCGACATTCACACTTCACGGAGAAGATTCATTTCAATAGGCAAGAAGACTGAATTCCTGGTATTCTAGTTGATACTGGCCTAAAGGCCTTACCTTTTCTGTTTGACCAATGTGCGAGATTGCTGAAAGAAACAAAAGAAAAAGGAAGCAATCAGTACAGAAATTCAGATTTAAAACAAAGAAAGATTGTTTCTAGCTGACCATGAATCTTGCTATCCAAGTTGTTATAGTCCAGTAGAGGTGAAACTGTATCTTGCCTGTCACGGATGCAGCTCCACCCAACAGATCATAGAGTGATTCCAGAAAATCAACATAAAACGAGATAACACCTGCAGCAGTATCAACATAATTTAATTATCATAGTCGCTTCACTAACACCTACAAAACATAAATTCACTTGCTTACAAACTATAACAACCTGGATTTCCAGGAATAAACAAGACATGAAACTTTGGGTCCTTGGCATAAATTTCCAGCAGATCCGTCTTATAACTGGCCCATCATTACATGCACAAGATAAGAGGCTAATAGTTTCTTATGTAAATAAATGTACAAAAACTTCAACAACAAACACTAAAAACATGACTTGATCTTTAATTCAGCTGCTCATTTCTCAGAAGTCAAAAGCGAATGGATAGTAAGTAAGACACCAATCAGCACAGTATCATTGGTAACCATGGGTGTACCAAAAAAATTGCTACCGATCCTACCTTACTAAGAGCCCGTTTGGCCAAGCTGTCAAAATCTGTTTATTTTGAAAAGTACTTTTTTCAAAAGTACTTTTGGAAAAAAAACAGTTTGTGTTTAATCAATTCATTCAAGAAGTACTTTTTGCAACATTTGGTAAACAAATTGTGTTTGGCCAATCTTTCTAAAAAGTACTTTTGAGTGTCAAATTACCAAAAAGGATAGTACCAAGGTCTTATAATTCTTTTAAAGAGAAAAATGAACTCAAATATTTATTGTAACAGACTTTTATTATTATTTATTTAATTTAATTAAAATATAAAACATAAAGTAAACAAACTTATTAAAGAATTAAATCAATTTTACATATATAGTTATACCAAAGCATATATTATTATCTAGTGTAATTACTTATTGTTACATGATGATTTGAATCATCAAAATACATCATTCAGTATAAATTAGAAATCTATTCCACAAATTACTATATATTGATAATCTACCATGAAATAATAAGTAAAGTCACTCACACATGATAATATTTCTCAACAATTTCATCTCTACGTCTATCACACAACGCCTCCATATTATTAGAAGAATTGCCTTGCATTTCTAAAGGAATATCAGAAGGCCCATCTCCATCCTCAATTTCAGCAGTAATGTCTTCATTAGCATAATAATTTAATTCCTTATCGGTAGAAGAATGTCATCGGATGAAATTATGTATAGCCATGGTAATTGTAACTAGATGATTCTGAGTGTCAAACTTGAAAGATGGGATTTAACGTAAAATAGAAATAATTTTAAATATATAAAAATAATTTTTTTTGTAAAAAAATAGTTAAGTATGTTTAAATTTAAATTCAAAAAGAGTAACTAATTATTAACAACACATAATATATAATTTTTNTTACCTATTTATAGGTAATTTTCACAAATTAGATTTGATAACTATTTTAAAGATTCGGGAACTAATAGCATATAACAGAAGAAATTATAAATGATTATTTTTAGGAAGAGATTTGATAATCCAAAGAAGGATGTAGATAATTTGCTTTAGTGTGAAAAAAGAAGAAGATGATTTGGAAAGTTACAAGACATTACACAAAGAACAAATCAAAAACAAAAAAAGTCAATAAAGAAGTTGGAAAGTTACAATATGATCCATGTATATGATATCTTTAATTTTAAAAGAATGATAAAAACTAGAAACAAAAATAAAAAGAAAAACTTACATTTGTAAGTGATAATTTGAAAAATATAAATTTATAGTGAGGATAGTTTTGTCTTGAATACATTAATTTTTCGCTTCTGCTTCTACTTCTTGGAAGAAGCTAGAATTTTCTGCTTCTTCCCAAAAGCAGAAAAACTGCTTCTGCTGCTGGCCAAAAGTACTTCTCTATATTGGCCAAACAGCTTAAATTTTTTTAAAAGTACTTTTTTACAGGAAAAAAGTATTTTTGGCCTCCTAAAAGCTTGGCCAAACAGGCTCTAAATTCATTTTCCATATGCATGATACTTGATGCTATCCTACTCCTTGATTCTTGAAAAGAATGACATTGATTCTTCTCTTTCTATAGAAAATTCATGAACAGAAAAACTACATTAAAATCACTATAACCAGATTTGAAATTAAGAGTTAAGACATTTTTAAAATGCTTCAAGAACTCATAGCAAAAAGAAAATAAAAAGTTTTAACTCTCCAACTACTCCCTCCGTCCTAATTTAGGTGGTGGTGTTTGACTTAGCACGGATTTTTAAGAAAGAAAGACTTTTGAAACTAGCAGTTAAAACAAGTTATAGACAATTTTGTGGCTATAAATCATCTTAGATAGGGTAAAATGTGAAGGTTAAAGTTAAATTATTTATTTTAAAAAAAAGGAAATATGACATTCTTTTTAGGAACACTATAAAAAGGGAAGTATGATGATAATTTCTACACCAAACGAACTAGATTAGTAAAACATAAATTCACTATACAGAATGATGAATGTGCTTCATATTGCAACTCCAAAAATTGGGTCCAAATTAACAGTGTCTTCTACTATCCCAATCACAAGGTGTTTATCCATATTCGTAACACTGTGTGGAAACAGAATGGAAACACAATCGATATCCCTTGTCTGCGTTAAACTACAAATAACTAAATAAAATTAAGAGTCAAAAGACAGTGAGAGTGCAAAGATACCCTGAAACGTTGCATAGCCGAAAACTTGCACGATGTCTTTTATCAATTAGACTCAGATTTTCGGGACCCATTTGTGAATTTCTGCACTTCGACCAAATTAGTCTCCTGAAATAAATAAATAAATAAATAAATAAAACACAAAAAGAAGAATGAGGATATGGGTTTTTTTCCTCACACACACAAGAAAGGAGTACATGAAAAACGGCGATTAAAACATGAATTGGGTATTGAAAAGAGCGTAGGAACCTGAACCTGGAGTGGAATGAGAAAGATCGAGTAATGGGAGGAAGAAGCATGGATTCTATCGAACTGTGTTATATAGGGGATTTTATGGGACTCTGGTATGGACTGGTCGTTAACTTGTAACTAATGTTAATGCTAATAACTTTTTAATTCTTTACGACCAACGGGGGCGAAACTTTACTGTGGTAAGAGTGATTATCGTTCGTCGGAAAAAATTATACTGCATATATAAGTAAAATATTAAATTTTACAAGTATATAACATGTGTTGAATATTCTTTATCGAATTTTTTTTTATTTCTTTCAAATTTGAACATAAGGACCACCTTCTTGGGATCTGCAATTTGATTAGACATTTGGTTAGCATCAACGTTAGTTGTTTGGTAGCATGCATTAGATAAAATAATGCATGCATTAGCTTTATATATTAATAAGAGAAAATCTCACTTTATACCTTTTAATACGCATGCCCAAACTATTTACTATTCCTACCCAATCGGCCCAATTTATTTACCCGGCCCCATATTTCACGCGGCCCAAGCTACCCATTTGTCTTTAAAGCCTTATCTTCATTCTTTACACTAGACTAAAGAATCCAGCCCACCTATTTCACCCGGCCCAAGCTACCCATTTGTCTTTAAAGCCTTATCTTCATTCTTTACACTAGACTAAAGAATCCAGCCCACCTATTTCACCCGGCCCAAGCTACCCACGCTTGTCTTCAACAATTGACACTATACTAGAGAACAGTTTCCAAATTTCCATTGCCAACCCATGAGAACGCATATTTCACCCACATTCGAGTTTTTAATTTTTTCTTCCGATTCCGTTCTATCTTCAGATTCCGTTCTATCTCTTCGTCTAATACCTGTTTTGGGGTGAATTTTTTGCTTCTGAAAGTACATTTTAGTGAAAGTGGGTTTTCAAAATCATAGGATTTTTGTGTTTTTTTTTTTGTACTTTTGTGAATCAATGTCTATGGGTTGTTCTTTTCTCTATGGGTCGGAAGCATTGCGCGCATAGATGGTGGCTCCGTGGACAACATCATTCTTCAACACAAGTAGCTGCTGAATCTGTTGCCTCAGTCATGTCTGGTCCTAGTTTTTCCTTATTTTCTGATTCTCAGTCTCTGTTTAGTCATAACCCTAGCAGTAGTCATGTTGAAAACACAACTGAAAATGTAGATAGAGGGTGGAAAAGGCAACAATATTAATGCTTCATCAGTCGATGAAACTCCCTACCAATTATTACCCGACACAAATTCTGAACCAGTCTTAGGAGGTGTTCCTGTGACTGATAAGGAAAAAGGTAAAGTTGTTGAGGATTCTGAGTTAGGGGGAAGCCGACATGAATCCGTGCCTAAAACAGAGACTCAACCAGAAGATGTTGATTGTATCGATGATTCTCAGTTAAAGAAGAAAAAAATTGGTGTCGCAATCCAAGAAGGTAATTTTCTTAAAATTATGATCTGTGAGATTTTGAATGTATAGTACATTCTTATTTTTTGATTTCCTGTTATGCTTTTGTATTATATTATAGTTATAGTCAGTTGTGTTAATTTTAACTGAATTCTATTTCTTAAATAATTTATATAATTATGTTTTGCATTGTTGCGATTCCCTTATGCCTATAGACATAGTGTATGTGTGCTATGTGATAGTTTTTATAGTTATAGGCAGTTGTTGGAACAACTCCGTACAACTATTTACCCTGTTAGTATAGCTATATACTATCATATGCTTCTGGATCCTTTTTTGGATGTCTTTACTATTTGTTTTTCCTTTAATAATAGTAGTATCGTACAGTATCTTGAAAATACTTTATCGCTGCATACCTTTTTGCTTTTTCTCTTTATTCCTATATGTTATGTAATAGTAGTATAGTCATTTATAGTTGCTGGAAATTAGCCAGTATAATTGTATACCCTGCTGGTATAGTTATATGCCGTGTTGGTATCATATGATAGTTGTAATATTTTTGGTTGGTTTAGTTGCATTTTTAAGTAAATTCTATTTCTGAAATTATTTTATATGAACATATTTTGCAGTGTTGGGATTTCCTTATGCCTATGGACTTAGATTATAAACCAAGGGTTGATTAGGATACCAACTGCCATGTTATTCATCAATTGAAAGAGAATTTATCAAAGATGCAACTTCGACTGTTTAAGAAAACATGTTTTGGCTATTTTTTGAATCTGCCACCAGTTATTGTGCAGATTCGGGTTATGCACCATTTTCTTATTAGAGAAGTACATCATGAGGTGAAAAATGAGATGTGGTTTGTAGTGAATGATTCTAGGTTGCGCTTTGGTTTGGATGAATTTGCACTTGTTACTGGGTTGAAATGTAAGGGTGATACAAGTATAGAGAGCATAACAGAGAATAGGTTGATTTCAAAATATTTTAGGACTGCATCCGTGCCATTGGCCCAACTAGGAGACTGTTTTAAGAAGAAGAAACGGGAAACAGATGATGATGCGTTGGAGATAGCAATTCTTTATTTTATGAACAACTTCTTACTTTCTCAACTCAAAACAAAGGTTATTTCACAGTCTTACCTTGACTTGGTTGAGTGCGGTGATTTTAATAATTATCCCTGGGGTATAAATGTTTATAACGCTACAATCGAATCGTGTTCCAACAAGTTTCAAGATAAGCCTTCTTTTTATAGATTCGGTGGCTTCCCGTTGGCTTTACAGATTTGGTTGTATGAATGCTGCCCAAGTTTGGATGATCACTTTGCTGATCATATTGGAAACAAACTTCCACGAATTTTGAATTGGGTAGTCATGGGTCAAATACCGAATGAGCGAGTTGCTTTGCGAATGTCTAGCTTGCAATGCGAGCAGGTAATTTTCTCATAGTTTTATTGCCTCTCTTAATGTTTTGGTACAGGAGTTTAGTCACAGGTAGTTGTAGCAATATCCCAGATCAATGATATTCTCTATTGGTATACATGTATACCATATTGGTATCATATGGTAATATGGATCATTTCTGCTACTTATAACTTATTGCTACTTATACTTTTAATTTTCTCATTCTTTTATTGCATCTTTTAATGTTTTTTGTATGGTATTTTAGTCATGGATAGTTGTAGCAATATCCCAGATCAATGATATTCTCTGTTGGTATACATGTATAACATATTGGTATCGTATGGTAATAGGGATCTTTTCTTCTACTTATAGTTTTATTGTTACTTATACTTTTAATTTTCTCATACTTTTATTGCATCTTTTAATATTTTTGGTACAGTAGTTTGGTCACAGTTAGTTGTAGCAATATCCCAGATCAATGATATTCTCTGTTGGTATACATGTATACTATATTGGTATCATATGGTAATAGGGATCTTTTATCTTTCCATACTTTATTATCATTTCTATTTCTAATTAGTGTGCTTAATAATTGCAGCTAAAGAACATCACCCCAACTGATAATGAGAAGCAACTATTTGATGTGCGTGGTCTAAACTTTAAAATTGAAGTTGAGTGCACTAACAGTTAGCCCGATAGCTTTCAGGTTTTTGGCACACAATTACCAAAGACACAAAGTATGCATGAAAGTACTGGAGGTGATTCCCAACCTACCAATGCTGAGGTAATGAAGGAGTTACAAGGTTTGAAGCTTTTTGTAGAGACCAAGTTTGAGGAGGTGCTTGCAGCTATTAGTAGGCAATCAATGAAACCAGAGGGAAATTCAGCGGTATTGATCTTTTATATAATATAATGCTATAGTATATTGTTCAAAGATGCAATATATGCTTATAGGATACTATTCCATTCTTTAGTTTTAGTGCACATAGTGTTCTTGTAATATGCATAATAATAAAATTGTTAGTTTCTCATTTTTCGCATAAGCAACAGGATAATGATCCTGACTTTCGTGAGATGCATAATGATTATGACCAATTTGAAAGGGGCCACGTTGGGAATGATCCTGTAGATATTGGAGATAGCACGCCCAAAGCGCTTTCTAGTATGTAAATCACAGATTTGATTTTTTTTTTGCTGTTGTTTTTTGAAAATAGTACTCTTGCTTATACTTTTATATGTTTAGTGTCTGATTTTGGTGGGGTTGATCGAGATGGAGGTGCTACTGGTGTCAATGTGAAGAACGGCACAACAAGTCATAGCGTAGTTAATGATGATTTGCGTTCTGGTAAAATGTTGTATATCTAATTTTTTTTATTCTTTTTTTATTTATTTAACTCTATGTATTTGTGCGTTCGCTAACCTTTTCTTAAAACTTTTTTCAGTCCCCTTCGTAAATGAGCATGATTTTGGCTTGGATACTAACTTTGAACTGTCTGTATCTGCAATTGATCAAATCACCGCCATTACACAACAAACAACATATAAGTAGTCATCTCATGATGTTAAAAAGTCGGGTCCTGCTCCGCTGCCATCAAAAATCCCTGCACAGACACGAGAAGATGTGTTATTGAGTCTAATACTGCTCCACAGGGTACGATATTAATGTTACTAATTTTGTAGTTAGTATGTAAATGATAGGTTCTTGATAGTTTTTTTATCTAAGTAGTGATGCTGATAATGCTTTTATGTGTTCAGCATCTCGGGTTGATGGTGTTGGTCAAGTGGATGTTGGTGGCAATAATGTGAATTTGCCTTCTGGTAATGTCTTCTATATATAACTTTTCATTCTTTTTTTTTAAAATTACTTAACTTTGTATATTTGTTTATTCACTAGCATTTTCTAATTTAAGCTTTATGTCGACACGAGGGTGATCTTCACTTGGATTCTGATTTTGAATATACTGATTCTCAACTTGATCTAATTGCTGCCATTACACAAGGAGGGAGACGTAATGTAAATCAATCTGGAAATGAACCGACAACTCGTGTTGTAAATAAGTCTAAACCTGATCAGCCGGTATCAAGAAGTATTGTCCAGATACAAAAAAATGTGAAACTACTCCTGCAGTTTTCACATAGAGAAGGCGCCCTGCAGCTGTAAAACAGCCGCCGTATAGGAATGACTGGCAATCTGGTGTTAGTACAGTTGGGGGGTCCTCGAAGGTTATCAAAGGAAGATTTCCATTTGTAAATGACATTTCAGTGGTTGTTGATTATAAGCTT